GGGCATGGGTCACCGCCGATTGCCGTTGGGATGTCACAGTGGGCAGACGAGGGGATGCGGGTGTGGCGGCCGGTGATGGTAGAGATGAGAGAAGGAGAGGGAGAGATTCTATGGTTTTTTTTTTCTTTTGACTAGAAGCCTAAAAAGTTAAATAAATCTTCGGGTTTTTTTTCTCTCGCTCGTTTGGTAAATCCTCCCTTGTTGGCATAAATGTTAATTGCCAACAGTTTCAACAGTGGGCCCCTCAAATTGGCTACCATGTTAAGAATTTCCCTTTTAACTACTTTTGGGGAAACCATCCACGCGGTGTCCTTTCTTTTTATAAAAGGGAGTAGGAGCTTTTGCTCCCCTCTATCCAAGGGTACCCACCACCCGCCCCAAAGCCCAGATCCAAGAGATATTGGACGGTGTCCTATTGAGACTGTATTATTGAAAAATTAAAAAAGAAGCTAGATAGATGGAAGTATATATCGCTCTCAAAAGGTGGAAGAGTGATTCTTCTCTCTCGGTCCTTCACAACCTCCCCTTCTACACATTCTCACTTTTTAAGGCGCTAACAAAGGTGGTCAAGGAGATGGGAAGGACATATCTTCCTCCAAAAGGAAAAGCTTTTGGCAGACCATGGTTTGATATTGCAAAGATGGAGGCTTCTTTTGCGAGTTTTATTCGGTTCAAAGTTGGAAATGGTAAGATAATTTATTTTTGGAAGGACATTTGTTTTCCACCATTTGATTCTTGTCTTTAGTACCATCCATATCATTGGCCCCTAGTCAGAAAAGAAAAAAAAGTACTTTTGCAAGGTTGCTTGTAGGCTTATACTCACTTGTTCCAAGACTGATCCGCCACGAGCATTCAAGTGAGCGTTCCCAAAGGGTATTCACACCAATATCCACCCTACCCAAGGAGAGGAAGCCGAGAGGTCAAGTAAGGGAGTGAGAGAATTTTTCTTTATTTTTACCAACCTTTGTTCGTGTAGCATGGAGTCACTAAGGAGGATAGAAGCCAGCCACGGAGAAGGAGCTAGTACGTCAAGCAAGTATACCTTAGTTGCTAGAAGGACCCTCAATGTGCAACCAAAGGAAGACACATTGGGAGAACAAAGAGACAACCTCTTCTACGCACGGTGTACTATTAAAGCCATTCCTTGTAGTATCCTTATTGATAGTGGAATTTGTGTTAATGTCATTATTACTTACATCGTGGAAAGGTTAAAATTAACCACCACACCCCATATACGACCATATGATCTACAATGGTTGACCAATAGTGGGGAAATCAAGGTCCAAACCAAGTCTTAGTTCCTTTTTCCATAGGAAGGTACAAGGACGAAGTTATTTGCAACGTTGTACCCATGCACGCATGTGATTTGCTACTTGGACAGCCTTGACAATATGACAAGAGAGTCAAGTATGTTGGTTTTCACAAAAAATATTCATTTAGCAACCACAGTAAGAAAACCACACTACTTCCATTATCTCCAAGGGAATTAAGAATTGATCAAAAGAAATTGGAAGAAAGAAGGAATGAGGCTGAAATCAAGAACATTGCTTAAGCTTGATAAGAAGTAAACAAACTTCCAACAAAGGGTAAGAAGGTCGTGAGTCTCATGGCAAGTTCAAGTGAAATCAAGAAGGCTTAAAATTCTAACCAAATGCTCCTCATGTT